GCAGAGAAAGTTTACTCACCCCCAACTTATCAAAGCCTACTTCTATTTCTGTCACACCCGCTCCTCCTAGACTAAGTCGGATTACCACCATTCCTGGACAACCTCCAACTGCCGCGAAGACCACAGCATCGTCATTGGCTTCTAATTTGGGTCCGACCTCTGGACACATCCCTTCATGCCTTCCTCCACCGCCTCTCCTGGAGCCAATTCTCTTTCGAACTACACCTACACCGGCTCCCGCACCTGTTCAGCCTCCACCCATATCATCGCATCTTACAGAATTGGCTGGAGTGATACCAACTTCTTCGTCATCGTCGTCGTCTTTATCTTCTCGTCGTCAACACTGCGAGTCCGTATTGCAAGCTACATCTGATAAAAGGCCCTCAGGTTCAACGCTATCTGTTGTTACAGCTCCGGTCATTTCTGTTCCTAGTACTCTTGGACCTTGCTCTAGTTCTCTGAGTAATCGAGCGAAAAAAGTTTCACGTAGACGGCGCCAACCGGGTGGACCAGCGCTGGTTCCAGCTGGCTCTAATCACATCTATGCGACAAAACATACTCAGCCAGTGGTTTTGAGTGCTGCGGGCAGCTCTTTCTACTATGTACTTTGCTATTAACCTTTTTGATTTTGCTTTTTTTTAATTTATTAGCCCTTTATAATTTGGCTTTAAGCAATGACGACTTATAAATATTTTAAAATTTCATATGACCTATTCTTTAAGACTGGGCTGATGTTGTCCCCTTGCTAATTTATCTCCCTACATGAGTTTTCCACTTACAAAATTAGTTTATTTCACCTGATCACGTCGACATTAAAATGCTCTTAAATTAATTAAAGCCGTATTTACCTAAGGTGAGTTAAGGAGTGATAGTTGAATTTTTTCACAATTATTTGAGTAGGACTCACGTTTCGATTGAATTTCACCTATCCTTTCTTCCCAATAGGAACTGATATAAGGTGGACTGCACTTTCGATCTCATCTAGGTAGCATCAGCATTTCCATTATGATTTGGATCCACGTATTGCAACATAGTTTCGACATTCGACTGTATCAACTTCCACGAATGCCTCTGGGTCACAGGAGAGACATGAATTTCAGGGAATTAATTAGAAATATTGCTGGAGCTAAAATATCTGCTGTCTAGCACTTATAGATGGCTTGAACGTCAGCCTGATGTTGATGGTAAAAAACATTAAATGGACGTCAGCGATGGCTTTTTTTATGCTAGCCAATTGGACTTAAAGATTATTCATTTTCGCAGCTTGGTCGATGCCATAAGGAGACCTTGTGAAATTTACCTAATCCTGCATCCTCTACCACAGTATTCATGGCGATTTCCAGCATCGGACCGATGA